TTTTTAACAAATATTAGTGAAGATGTATTGTATTAGTGCTGTGGACACCAAGAGAAGTGGATATTTTCCCAAAAAGGCCCGAAAACAGGGCAAGTACAATTGAAGTTCCGATTTATCGGATTCCCGATGTTATCTTTCTTTTCGTATTTATCATCGTTAAAAATTACAAAATCAACAAAAATTATGGCGATTTTCAACAAAAACCATTAGTATAAATCGTTTTTTTAGACTGCAGGACATCACAAAGAGCTGGTTTCTGTATTTTGACGTTATGAAGGACTAAACACATTCTAAAAAAATCGTCTGCTTGATTAAAAAATAACTTAAAAAAAAACGTATCAAAAATTTATTTTTGTACTTTGCTTGAGGCTTGTTTATGATTTTCTCAAATTGGCTGAACTTCTGCCATAATGATTTTCAACCTGAAGCTTGCTTCTGACATTTTAATATGGAGATACATAAGTAAACATCATTTTATGTTAAAATCATTTAAAGAAAAAATAATTGTACGTATCCAAATTATAGAACAATATTTATTTATATTTACAAAGTGTTTAGGTACTATAAAATTTCAGGGTCTAATTCTATCCAACTTTTCACCAAACTGCACTAATCAGAAGTATTTAAAAAGCACGTTCGTATTTGGATTCAGTACCCCAAATTACACAAAAATCCGCTATTAAATTGAAAATAATTTTTAAAAAGCCCTGTGTTATTAGTAAAGTCAGTTCATCCAAATGCCGCTTACAAATTATCATGATATAACTAAATCATATTTAAACATAATTAATTTAAATATATCATACTTAAACCGAAAAGTGTTTTCCAACTAGCGAAGTTATTAAAAACAAATCAATTTGTTCAAACAATGGTTAATAAATCCCAGAAATTTGTAGTTTTCCGACCAAAATATGAAAAATAATTTCAACAATCTCCGGTGGTTCTTGCTGAATATCGACGATGGAGACCAAAGAACTCAAATATTTAGGGCCGGCAAATTTTCACAAAATACATCAAATTCGTTGGTTGGTGGCCAACGTAGGACTTGTGTAACTAACGCATTTATGCTGTTTAAATATAATGAGTATTAATATGTCAAAATTAAACCGAAAACTGTTTTCCTACAAACATGAAGTTATTAGAAACAATTCAATTTGTTTAAACACTGTTATCCCAATCCCAAAAATGTGCAATTTCCTGGCCAATATATGAACAACAATATGGCAATGTCGTCGTAATGTACGTGTTATTGTGGCGTGAGTGGAGGTAACGTTTTTGGGCCCTTTGCGCTCAGTTTTGAATTCGGTCTGGTGGCGACAACATCGGCGTATCGTTTTTGGCGTAAAAGTAGCGGGTTTTCGCAAAATTATAATTTATTACTGATAAATATTTGTGAAAATGTGCTGTATTAGTGCTGTGAACACAAAGGAAAGTGGATATTTTTCCAAAAAAGCCCGAAAACACGGTAAGTACGATTTGAGTTTCATCTTATCAGACCCCCGATCTTATCTTTCTTGTCGTATTTTCAATTTCAACAAAAGCATTAGTATAAATCAGGATTTTAGACTGCAGGATATCAGATAGTGTCGATTTCTGTATTTTGGCGTCATGAAGGAGAAAAGACCATCTAAAAAAATGGTCTGCTTGATTTAAAAATAACTTACAAAAACGTATCAAAAATTTATTTTGTACTTTGCTTGAGGCTTGTGTCTATTTTTTTCAACTTGGCTGAACTTCGTCCATAATGATTTGTAACCTTAGGTGAGCTTCTGACATTTTAGTGTGGAGATACATAAGTAAACATCATTTTATGTTAAAATCATTTAAAGCAAAATTAATTGTATGTATTACTTCCTGAGCTTAAGCTAAGGAAGTATTGTAATCGAGTCCATTTGAGCTGGTTGAGACTGTCATTGAATTAAAATTTTTAATGCATATAAATTGAGTTTAGTTTTGCCGATGTTGAACAAACAAAATCTTATATTGCACATTAGTTTTCAAATTGTTAAAATTAAATTTGAAAATGAACCAGTGTTAATGTAATTTGTTATTTTCAACTATAATCTAAATTATAGAACAATATATATTTATATTTACAAAATGTCTAGGTACCATCAAATTTCAGGGTCTAATTCTATCCAAATGTTCACCAATCTACACTAATCAGAAGTATTTAAAAGACAAGTTCATATTTAGATTCAGTACCCCAAAATACACAAGAATACGCTATTAAATTGAAAATATATTTTTTTAAAGTCCTGTGTTATTAGTAAAGTCAGTTCATCCAAACGCCGCTTATAAATTATCGTGATATAATTAAATCATATTCAAAATAATTAATTTTATATACAGTGTTTAAATATATCATACTTAAACCGAAAAGCGTTTTCCTACTAACACGAAGTTATTAAAAACAAATCAGTTTGTTCAAACAATGTTTAATTAAACCCGGATACTTGCAATTTTCCAACCAAAATATGAAAAATAATTTTCACAATCTCCGGTGGTTCTTGCTGAATATCAACGATGGAGACCAAAGAATTCAAATATTTAGGGCCCGCAAATTTTCACAAAATTCATAAAATTCGTTGGTTGGTGGCCAACGTAGGACTTGTGTAACCGACGCATTTCCTCTGTTTAAATTTAATAAGCATTAATATGTCAAAATTAAACCAAAAACCGTTTTCTTACAAACCTTAAGTTATTAGAAACAATTCAATTTATTTAAACACTGTTAAATTAATCCCAAAAATGTGTAATTTCCCGGCCAATATATGAACAACAATTTTGGCAATGTCGTCGTATTGTACGTGTTATTGTGGCGTGAGTAGAGGTCACGTTTTTGGGCCCTTTGCGCTCAGTTTTGATTTCGGTTTGGTGGCAACAACATCGGCATATCGTTTTGGCGTAAAAGTAGCGGGTTTTCGCAAAATTCTAATTTATTTCTGATAAATATTTGCAAAAATGTGCTGTATTAGTGCTGTGAACACAAAGGAAAGTGGATATTTTTCCAAAAAGACCCGAAAACACGGTAAGTACGATTTGAATTTCATCTTATCGGACTCCCGATGTTATCTTTTTTATCATTTTTATCAATTTCAACAAAAACATTAGTATAAATCAGGATTTTAGACTGCAGGATATCAGATAGTGCCGATTTCTGTATTTTGGCGTCATTAAGGAGAAAAGACAATCTAAAAAATGGTCTACTTGATTCGAAAATAACTTACAAAAACGTATCAAAAATGTATTTTGTACTTTGCTTGAGGCTTGTTTCTAATTTTCTCAGCTTGGCCGAACTTCGTCCATAATAATTTTCAACCTGAGGCGTGCTTTTGTCATTTTAATGTGAAGATACATAAGTAAACATCATTTTATTTTAAAATCATTTAAAGAAAAATTAATTGTATGTATTACTTCTTGAGCCTAAGCTAAGGAACTATTATAATCGAGTCCATTTGTCATGGTTGAGATTGTCATTGAATTAAGATGAATGTTTAAATATATCAATACTTAAACCCAAAGCGTTTTCCTACTAACACGAAGTTATTAAAAACAAATCAATTTGTTTAAACAATGTTTAATTAACCCCGAAAATGTGCAGTTTTAAGACCAAAATGTGAAAAATAATTTTGGCAACCTCCCGTGATTCTCAAAAATTTCAAATATTTAGAGTCAGCAAATTTGCACAAAATCCATGAAATTCGTTGGTTGGAGGCCAACGTGGGACTTATGTAACTGAAGCATTTATATTGTTTAAGTATAATAAGTATTAATATGTGAAAATTAAACCGAAAACCGTTTTCCTACAAACATGAGGTTATTATAAACAGTTCAATTTGTTTAAATACTGTTAAATTAACTCCAACAATGTGCAATTTCTCATTTTTGCTATGATTATAGTTTCTTCCACTCGTCATGGCAGTGTAAAGATTTCAATTTCCTGTGATTTTTTAAAATTTATTGTTAATGATATGTGTGTAAAATACACGGTGTGCCAAACTAAATGTAAACACCTAATATGGATTTTTCGTAAATAAGTTTATGAGATTGCGACGAATACGGCTTATTAAACAATGATTTGTTTGAAATAAAATTAGAGTGTCGAAAAGTGGCGATTTGTGCGTTTATTAACGTCTGAATCGATAAAATTACACAGTTGTGGTGAATGTAAAAGAATCTTTAGGGTCGCTTGCTTTTATTTTTGAAAGAATTTCCTAGGATATGAAAAACTAAGTCTCTATTTTCTCTCCTATCTTTTCTTCTTCATTTTCCGTTTGCGGAGAAGGTAATTGCGGCTCTCTACGTGATTCGCTCGTCGTAGAAGAAATTGCGTCAGTTGGCGTAATCGCGACAGAGTCCTCGAAAAGCCACTAGTGGGCGCCTTGGTACTAACGTGTTTACGCTTACATAAACAATTTAGCCTTACCTTGAAAGAATGCAACCATTACATTGCTCTAAAATGGTTGTGGTATCAGTATTTCCTGTAAACTAGTAGCAAAATTATAATTACTAAAACGCCACCTTATCATAGTGCTTATCATTCGCTTTTGATACTTCAAGTTTTAAATACCCTCAAAATAACATGTCTTGGTTGTTAAAATATAAAGTGTATGCTTTTCAAGAAAAACTTAGCCCCTAAAAATAATGAATGAGAAGACACAAAAACACGAAATCTAATAAAAACTGTGAGCTTCACTGTTAAACTTTAAGTTACGATCAACACATTGCTGTATAAGGAAACCAGTCTCGTTCGCAGCTCGTCGGGTCAATTTAAATATTGACCTCGTGTAGAGTATTATACGTAGAGATTTCGTTTGACTGTGTCTATGATAATTTTTACGACGGAGTTCGTTCGACATTTCGTTCCCATAAATTCCTTTAATTACGAACTCGAAATGTCATCGGTAATTCAAAAAAAAACTCAAAATAAAATTTTCAGTATTTAATTAGTACATAAGGTATATATATAGTAGGTTGACAACTACCGCTAACACCTACTATTGTCTTTTCTCATTGTACTTATTTTTATAATGCAAGAGAGCTATAATAGGAGCCTCGAATCCCAAGTGTAGAACTACTGAACCCAACACTACCAAAACTGAAAGTCCCAAAGCCCTAAATAGCTGAAATAGACCCATTAAAACCCACAGTTGAATTCAGTACTTACTTACAGTGATAGAGGTACTAAAATACACCACTTCCTTCTGGTTAAACAAGTAACTAGAAATCACGCTAAAATGGACCAAGTAGATGCAATAAGTAAGTCTACCAAAAATTCTAAACACGGGTAATGAGAGAAATGTGGCAACAAAACCTACAAACTTGTTACACTCATTATTATCAACACAGAAAAAGTTACCTCCATTTCCACTGACACAGCTAAAAATAATAAAAGAAACCGCTAAAGCCCACAGCGGTTTCGCCAAACCATTCCATAAAGCCGCACGATAGACATCGTATTCTCCAAAAAAAACCGTTTGTTTCAGAATTAGATTTATCATAACGTAAAGAGATAAAACCAAAAGAGCAAAATGTAGATTTTTGGAAAGTCTGAATTTTCGAAAATGGAACAAATAACCGAAAAAAATCCCTATGAGCCAACTTGGCGCGTGGTGAATGGTGGAAAAGTAAATAAAACTTGCGTAATCCTCGTTCCACCTGAATAACAACATTTTCATTACAATCTAACAATTTTTTAGTTTCGTACTCAAAAGGCGTGAATCCTATTCTTTTGTATATGGTTACGGTGATGCTGTAGATGGTACTCGCCACAAAAGCGGCAGCCATTGCCCCAATGACGCGTCTGGGGTATTTTCTGATAAAAAATAAAATCAAGGGTGCACAAAGATATAGCTGGTTATCGACTGCTAAGTACCAAAGATGCATGCCACACTACAACTGAATCATGAATATCTACAAACCACACCCACGTTGTATCTACCATCTTGAAATTCATAATTTTAGTGAAAAAAAAGAAAGCAGACCACCAAGTCTTGCGACAATGAATTGCTAAATAGTTGTTAGTGAAAAAACCGTATGGTCCGGTTGATGCAAACTTTACCAACGACGTGTGTATCAAAATTATAGCCAAAAGGGCTGGCGTCATCCTAAAAATTAATAGTAATTTTCGCAACACTCGGTATATACTTTGAATACCTCACGTATCTAATCAAATAGAAAGCACCCAAACCCACTCTAAACGTCTCTGTACGTTTCAAATAAATGTAGCTTCTCAGAAATCCACTAACGGCAAAAAATGTATTGACTGTATACATAGGTGACCACAAAAATATACTCAGTGTTTCGTGTCTCCACTAAAATTTTTGAATGTTAGTAGTTTGCGATGCATAACTTCAACCTACTTCGGTGAAAACGTAAAGCAAATTCTTGACACTAAACAGCTGAAGAACAAACACGTGACCCAGCACGATCCAACAACAGCTCAGGACTTTAATTCCGTTTAAACAGTCTAAAGGCGTGTTTGAGCTTGACGCTACAAGTTTTTTTATGTTTGTGTATATTGAAAACGCAACAAAAATATTTAATTCGTCTCCTACAAAACATAAGTTATAAATTGTAACACAAACTTAGTACTTACCTCTCATTTGTAAGTAAAAGTCGTACGAAGTACTCACAACAATCAGAAATAAAATAACTGCGAAGAAAATACTAAAACACTTTTGTCGTTATTTTATAAAAAATTATGTCGCGCTTACAAAGCAAAATAGTCTACTGGTGTTCTTTTCACAGATTTATCTTTATACTGACACATATCTTCTACTACAGTTATGCGTACTTTAATATTGAAATAATTTTCCAAGTAACTTGAAAGTTTTGCTACATTTTCACTTGAACACGATTTTGGAATACACACACCCCACATCAGGGTTGGATCCTTCATCACATTTAGCACCCCTTCGAAGTCAATATTTGCGTTTGTTTTAAATATCTGAAACCGAATTTCAGTTGATTCATGACGAGAAAATCTCACTACCTCGTTTTCTTTCACACTCGACCTAAAAGAACCCAGAACTTCGTCAAACACCGTCACGAACAAAGTGCAGTATTGACCAGCTACGGTCCGGTTACCCACATTTTCGTCTATTTCTAAACATTCGTCATAGTCACCCATGAAGTGAAAATTACCCTTGAAGAGTCCGGGAGATATTTTTCCGGAAGCATCGAACACTAGATCAATTTTAATCAAACGTTGCGCAACTTACGTACTTACTTTTTGCAATCCATAACTTCTGGTCAGACTCGTTGGTGATCAGAAGTTTCAAATCGGCGGCGCAATTTTCATGCAAGTGACTGTTTTTGATTGCTTTGCGTGCGAGAGAATTGAAAATTTGAAGCGGGATTTTGGGTGAGAATGATTGTGAAAATACAACCACAGGAAAAGTCAAAATCAGTGGTAGGAACTGCATTGCTGTGCCACGTTAAATTGTAATGTAGGAAAAGTATGCACTCGGTAAGTTTATGTTAAATAAACGTCATTTCAGATAAGATTTATTGTCGGAATAAATAAGTCAAAGCACGTCATCTTATCAAGACTATGAAATAAAGAACACTGTAAGCGTGGTGGAAGCATTTATTGATACGGAATTGCGGCTCTCTGCGCAATCCGCTCGCATTTATCACACCACACAATACAAAACAATTAAATATTTTTCGTTGCAGATTTTTCTTCTTGTTGGTCCTTCAGAGACACTATAGGGGCTTCAAACCCCAAGTACAAAATCACCGAAGTCGCCAGCACCAAAACAAACAATCCAATAAATTTAAACAACTAAAACAAAACGTAAAATGTGTCTTCAAACTTTGAATTCTTACAATTTCGATGGTACCGAACTGTAGCGCCTCCTTTTGGTTGCCGAAGTAGTACAAAAGGACGGTAAAATGCACCAGGTACACACTATAGGTAAGTTTGCTTAAAACTCGAAACACGGCATGTGACAGAAAAGTATTGACGACACCTACAAAACCTGATGATTGTTGAAATTGACACACGAAACGTCTTACCGCCGTTGCCGACTCCACAGCTGTAAATTATAAAACAAATACATAAAGACCACAAAGGTCGTGCTAATGCGTTCCATAAAACCGAACGATGAAGACTGTATTCTGTACTTATGAAAACAGTCTGACCTGTGACCAGTTTTAGCATAACCCCCAGCGAGATAACCCACAAGAGAAGGTTCAATTTCCTCGACGGTTTGAATTTTTTGTAGTAGAACAGATAACCAAAAATCAGCCCTAGTAGCCAACAAGGCATACGATGGAGAGTCGAAAAGTACAAATAATTTTGGAAGTCGTCACTCCACCTACGAAAAATGTTCAAACACCTTAAATACCGACGACTTACTTACTCAAATACAGTAAAACCGACTCCCTTAGTCTGAGTTACAATCACACTATAAGTGACGCTTATAATAAAAGCAAACACCATTCCTTTCATTACTTTTGTGGTGGATTTCTTGATATTGAACAAAATTAAAGGGGCGAAGATGTAGAGCTGGTTATCGATTGCTAAGTACCCGAGGTGTAAAGCACACTACAATCGTTTTTATTATTAAATAAAACTGTCTCTAGAACTTACTCTTTTGAAGTCCATAATTTTCAAAACGAAAAAGAAAGGTGACCACCAGGTGGTACCACAATGGTTTGCTACATAATTAGCTATAAAGAGTCCATATGGTCCGTTGGCTAAAAATTTTAGCATAGTGGTGTGTACTAGTACCGCTGCCACTAAAGCCGGTGTTAGTCTAAAACCAACAAATATATAATCTCTGTCGTACTAAATCTACACCAACCTGATGTATCTAATCAAATAAAAAGTGACCAAATCGACAGAAAACACCTCAGTGTGTTTTAAATAAATATAACTCGTTAGAAATCCGCTGATTGTCAAAAATGTGTCAAACGAGTAGTGACCTGACCACATGAAAGTGTGAAACGCTTGGTGGTTCCACTAAAACTCGTTGGTTAGAAAAAGTCAAAATAATTGAATTTTACCTCATCGTAGATGTAGTGGACGTTTTTTGCAATAAACCTATAAAAGAGTACTGTATGCCCTAATACAACCCAGGTACTACTTATCACTTTGATTCCGTTCAAGCAAGTGAGAGTATTGTGGTTGTTGGGACGCTGCGACAAAAGTCTTTCGAAGTTAGTGTAGGCGGAAAACACAACAAAAACATTCGGGGTTTGACCTAAAATAGACAACTTGAAACGGTACTAAGTGGAAGAAGTGCGTACCAGTTAAACGTAAATAGGCGTCGTAGGTGGTACTTGCAATTGTCAGAGATATAGTTACTACGAAAAAGTAACTAAAATATAGAGATTTATGTAAGAAAACAAAAAAAGTATCAAACTTACTAAGAAAAATTCTCCAGGTGGGTGGTTTTTAAGGGTTTGCCTTGATAAAAACACAAGTCTTCTTCCACACTTACGTCTCCGCTTACTCCAAGTGTGTCCATGAAGTGTCTAGCAAAGTTTTGTACGCTTTCTAGAGAACAGGATTTTGGGACACACACCCCCCACAGTAATACAGAGTGTTCTTTTTCAGTCGACACTTCTCTGAACTCCAGTTTTGATAGATACTCTTCTAGTTCTTTGCTTTTAATAACTGACTTGGTGAAACCCAGAGGTTTATAATGAGTTGACACTCGTAAAGTGCAATACTGGCCCTTAATATTTCTCTCAGTAACGGCTTGTTCTATATCCAGACACTCGTCGTAGTCTCCAAACAAATGGAAATTGCCGTTAAAAAATCCGGGATAAATTTTGCCGCTTGCGTCCAGCACTGGAAATTAATTCAAAAGTAGACACACCTTTATTAGAAAAAATACGTACTCTTGAAAGCCCACATTTTGGTTTCAAAAACATCTGACAACAAATTGGATAAGTCGGCGGCACAGTCAGCATCCAGGTCACTGTTTTTGACGTACTTCAGCGCGGTTTGGTTTAGAATTCTAAGGGGTACGTTGTACAAGGATGAGTGAGAGTACACGATTAGAGAGAAAAATGTAACAATTTTTGTTAACTTCATTGTGAGGAACTAAAACACTAGTGTGAAAGTGTGACGGTGAGTCATATAAAAGTTAATTACTGGTTTAATGCCAAGGCGGCTTAGCATTAACGTTTATCAGGTGGTTTTGAATTTTAAATGTGTTTATTATTCCGTCGTCAGTTGACGCGGACATGGACACAGTTAAATACCGTTCAGTATTTTTTTAGATCGTAAATCTAGTAATTTGGTTGACAACAAATTTCGTATTTGCAAAACTGAAATTAATGATAAAATTGGTGGAAAGTTGTTTCGACAGAACTTCCCTAGCTCCTGAAGTACAATGAGACATATCCAGAATCCCTATAAGTTAAAATAAACATTTTTAAATATGTAATGCCAAAGCAATTTCTCTTTGCATCACCCTGTATAAGCAAATCGAAAAAATATAAATGCAAATGCAATAACCATTTCGAAAGTGTGCGGTACTTTATTGAACGATAAAAAAGCAAAATAAGCTGCTGCAAACAAAACTCAGGCAGCAGCTCTTTGTGCAGGTGGCTGCCTAGCTGCAAGTCATAAATTAGTGGAATGACCGGAAGTGGCCAATTTTGAATTTTGCACAATCTCGAGATCATATGTGTCAAACACGAAATCGTATTTTTTAATAACCAAATTAAAAACAAAATTTTATTTTCCGTTATTACATTTAGGCCAGAACTTCGGGGGCCTCATATCCGTATAAACCGTCTCTGCACAAGTACGGACATTGTAAAATACACTTACTGCAGATTATTTACGGGAATAGAGATATCTGAGCAAAATGTGTAGTGTTTAAAATGTTGATGTTTATACATCGGAAGAATGTCACGTAGACATTTCTTTGATTTGAATGAGTTTATCGCCTCAAAACAGGTGAATAAAATTACTCAAGTTTCAATTGAACAAAATATTTATTTTATAATAATAATAACAATAATAATAATAATAATAACATTTATTGATTTCAACAGAAAGAAACACAATTACAGAAACCACCAAATAAAGTAAAAATAAACTCCTATAAAAAATAGCTAGAAAATTGACAAAAAATTAATTACCTGCTAAGATAAAACCGATTTTGGCAAATGACATACTTTCTAAGAAAAGAGAGGGTGGGTGGGCGGGGCTAGTACTTGCTAAAAGATAAGAGTGATTTTGGCAAACGACAAAATTAACTCAAAAACAGGTCAGGTCAGAATTCTCCAAAAATAGAACAACAAAATCCCCCAAAATTGCTTTAAATAATTTACAAAAAAATCTCCATGGACTCCCAAAATAATGCACCAAGGGAACTCAAGAGTTTTCCGAATTAAGAGAAAAAAACAAGAGTTTTTCAAATTCGTAAAAATTTATCCGAAAATGAAACACCAGGGGACCTAAAATTAACCGCGAAAAGTAAAAAACTTCAATTTTGCAACACTAACTCATTTCAAAGGCCGGATTCTTGGACAAATGTCTTTTCATTTTGTGTATCTCTCCTTTTATTTCAGCGCTACTTGTTTTGGCTATTTTACTTTTTTCTGGCCATTTTGTTCCAAAATCTTAATTTTCTATACCCCCAAGCACAAGTTTCTTCAGAAAGTCACATTTAATATTTTTGTTTTTTCAATTTTTCGAGTCCTAATTTTTGAATTTTTCGTTTCTTCATACATTTGTACTTTCATAATTTTGGCTTTATCAATTTTTAATTTTGTTATTTTTCCATTATTAGATTTTTTTCATTTTTGAGTTCTTCGATATTTCCAGATATGTATATAATAATTTTTTTTATTTTTTTTGTTCCTGATTTTTCAGTTCTATGCCAGAATTTTTCTAGTTTCTAAACTAAAAATTTTCGATCTTACTTCTTCTGAATTTTTCAATTTTTCCGATTTTTCTCAAATATTCCATTTTTTAGTGTTTTAATTTTGCAACCGTTTTTTATTTCCTCAATTTTTTGATTTACAATTTCTTCAGTTATCAGTTTTCAATTTTTCAATTTTTCGACTTTCTAACTTCTGAATTTTTGGTTCTTAGATTTTTCGTTTCTTCAATTTTACGATTATTTTTCAGAAAAGTTAAGCTAAAATAAAACTGATTTTGGCAGTGACATACTTTCTAAGAAACTACAGGGTGGGTGGGCGGGGCTAGTATCTGCTAAGATAAGACTGATTTTGGCAAATAAGATACCCTTGAAGAAAAGAGAGTGCAGGTGGGTGGGGCTATAGGCTTCTAAGATAAAACTGATTTTGGCAAATGACATACTGTCTAAGAAAAAACAGGCTGGGTGGGCGGGCATAGTAGCTGCTAAGATAAGACTGATTTTGGCTAATGAGATCTTTCTAAGAAAATAGAGGACGGATGGGCGGGGCTAGTTCCTGCTGAAAAATAAGAGTAATTTTTGCTTTTTTGATTTTTAGTTTTGTTATTTTTCCATAATTAGATTTTTTAATTTCTGAGTCCTTCGATTTTTTCAGATATGTATATATTTAATCTTTTCATTTTTTTGTTCCAGATTTTTCAGTTTTAAGCCTTAATTTTTCTAGTTTCTAATCTAAAATGTTTCAATTTTACTTCTTCTGAATTTTTGTATTTTTCCGATTTTTCAAATATTCCATTTTTTTAGTGTTTCGATTTTTATCTTGCAATATTTCGATTTTTGCAGTTTTTTATTTCTTCAATTTTTCGATTTACAATTTCTTTAGTTTTTAGTTTAAAATTTTGCAATTTTTCGACTTTTCAACTTCTGAATTCTTGGTTTTTAGATTTTTCGTTTCATCAATTTTACGATTATTTTTCAGAAAAGTTAAGCTTAGCTAAGATAAATTGATTTTGGCAATGACAGATTCTCTAAGAAAAGAGGGGGCGGGTAGGCGGGGCTAGCAGTTGCTAAAAATAAGAGTGATTTTGGCAAACGACATACCCTCTAAGAAAATAAATAGAGGGCGGGAGGGCGGGGCTAAGATTGCCTATTTTACTGTTTTTGTTCTAAAATCTGAATTTTTCGTATCCCCAAGCACATGTTTCTCGAGAAGGTCACAATTAATATTTGTGTTTGATCAATTTTTATATTTTTAATTTTTGAATTTTTCGTTTCTTCAGTGTTTCGGTGTATCAATTACACTTTCATAATTTTCGCTTTTTCGATTTTTATTTTTGTTATTTTTCCATTACTAATTTTTTTAATTTTTGAGCTCCCCGATTTTTTCAAAAATGTATGTTATATTAAATTTTCTCATTTTTTTGTTCCTGATTTTTCAGTTTTATGGCCGAATTTTTCTACTTTCTATTCTAAAATTTTTCGATTTTACTTCTTCTGAATTTTTCAATTTTTCCGAAATTTTCAAATATTCCACTTTTTTGATGTTTCGATTTTGGCAAATGACATACCTTCCAAGAAAAGAGAGGGTGGGTGGGTGGGAGGGGCTAGTAGCTGCTAAGATTGCCTATTTTACTGTTTTTGTTCTAAAATCTGAATTTTCCGTACCCCCAAGTACATGTTTCTTAAGAAGGTCACATTTAATATTTTTGTTTGTTCGATTTTTCGAGTTTTAACTTTTGAATTTTTCGTTTCTTCAGTTTCACGCTGTATCAATTACACTTTCATAATTTTCGCTTTTTCGATTTTTAATTTTGCTAATTTTCCATTATTAGATTTTTTTTTAATTCTTGAGGTCTTCGATATTTTCAAATATGTATATATTAAGTTTTTTCATTTCTTTGTTCCTGATTTTTCAGTTTTATTCCTGAATTTTTTTAGTTTCTAATCTAAAATCTTTCGATCTTACTTGTTCAGAATTTTTTAATTTTTCCGATTTTTTTCAAATATTCATTTTTTTTAGGGTTTTGATTTTTAATTTTCAACCTTTCGATTTCTGCAATTTTTGATTTCTTCAATTTTGCAGTTTTAAATTTTTCAATTTTTCGACTTTCCAACTTCCGAATTTTTCGTTTTTAGATTTTTCGTTTCTTCAATTTTACGATTATTTTTCGGAAAAGTTAAGCTTAGCTAAGATATAACTGATTTTGGCAAAGACATACTTTCTAAGAAAAGTGAGGGCGGGTGGGCGGGGCTAGTACCTACTAAGATAAAACTGATTGTGGCAAATGACATACTCTCTAAGAAACGTGAGGGTGGGTGGGCGGGGCTAGTAACTGCTAAGATAAGACTGATTTTTGCTAATGAGATCCCTCTAAGAAAATATAGGGCAGGTGAGCGGGGCTAGTACCTGCTAAAAGATAAGAGTGATTTTTGCTTTTTCGATTTTTAATTTTGTTATTTTTCCATTATTACATTTTTTAATTTTTGAGTTCTTCGATTTTTTCAAATATGTGTATATTAAACTTTTTCATTTTTTTGTGCCTGATTTTTCAGTTTTACGGCCGAATTTTTCTAGTTTCTAATTTAAAATTTTTCAATAAATATTCCATTTTTTTCGTGTTTCGATTTTTATTTTGCCACCTTTCGATTTTTGCAGTTTTTTATTTCTTCAATTTGTCGATTTATAATTTCTTTAGTTTTCAGTTTTAAATTTTTTAATTTTTCGACTTTCCAACGTCTGAATTTTTGGTTTTTAGATTTTTCGTTTCTTCAATTTTACGATTATTTTTCGGAAAAGTTAAGTTTAGCTAAGATAAAACGCTTTTTTAAAGTTATGTATTTTTAAACACAAATGTGGACTTTTCTTGGGTTTATGTTGGCATAACGGAAGTAATTGTGTGACAGATATGTCAATCGTGGCATGCGATAAATTTAGGTTATGTTCTGAATACATTTTGCAAATTGAAAATGTCATCAATATGTCGATGTTGACAGCTGAAACCGGAAATTATATATACAAAACTTAATGAGCAATTTCAACTAAGTAAAAATCCAGGATTGCCAACAGGCTCAGTCATTTCTGACCACGCGGTATTATCACAATTTTAACGCCAATAATAATT